CATGTGGTTTGTGGAATTTTTTTCAAGGAGGCCTATGTTCAGCAGCATGATGAATAATGATGATCAATTAATCAGTACAAACTTCTATTACTATCTTCAATCTTCTATATCCTATTATGACGATATTTGTCGTTTAAGTCTGAATAAAATTGTGCCTCCAGGGAGCTTCCATGGAGTGTAGTGCGTGAATTGATAAAATTATTATAAAATTATGTATGGTGACACCCACCAAATTTGTTGTCAAAGTGTTCTAAAAACATCCTACTCGCAAGTGCTCACGGTTGCAGTATCGACTCCATACATTTTTGCAATTTAAAAGTATTTCCAGATCATTAGAGAGGCCGCCAACTTACAATTATAAGTTGGCCGACTAAATCGCAGAGCATATCAATAGGTATAGTGACATATGCTAGCCCACACATCTTGTCCAACTAAATCGTCCAACTAATTAATTGGACACCAATCGTATCAGAATCAAGATTCCCTTCCGATTACGCACAATTAAAAAGTTGTCAACTATCGGCCAACTGCTCGTTAGCACGGTTACCTTATGTACGCTCGAGGACTATCCAACTTTGTTGGTTAGTGGCACGGCAAGATGCAAGACGAACCGTTGCGTGCGTGTGATTTCCCTACGCTCGGATTTTTTTAATTTTTTTAATTTATTCTTAATTGTAACACCTTACAACTAAGGTAACAATAGGCGTACTAAATGATTCTCGGAATTCTCTGCCAGTCAACCCGTAGTGTGGTGAGTTATTATGGCAGGTGTAAACTCGATTTATGATCTTTGGATTTTTTTTATATGGTCGTATGACAATTCAATCTATGTTACTGCCAAATACATCATTTGATATTATTCAACCTAGTACTTCACAATTTCCAAGAGCTTCCAGGCGCATTAACTTCCGTTCATATTATCTCTGATTAATTTATCCAGGTAAACCATAGTCGTTCAGTCCGTTCCACACGATCAAACAAATTTAACACAGCATCTAACAGAATCTCATCAGCAGTCTATCACAGGGCCACAGGATACAATACCATCTAATCTGCAACTTTCAAGTTCATCTCCAGAAAGTCAAACACCGCCCTCTCCACATGATCATGATGGTACTATTTCATACTGGTTAAACTTCTCAGAGTCGGAATCAGAACTAAATGAACTATGAAAATATAACAGATTTTTGCACTAAACTGTCTCAAATTTGATTATAGGTATAGAAAATCAATAAAAAATAAGAAATGATATGTTTATTAACCTAGCAGATACTTAACGGAGAGTTAATTCAAGCCTCTCTTCAATGGTGATAGCAAGTCGGAAATTTGTATCACGTTTGACTATACAGAAATAATAACAGAAAGAGAAGAATACAGAAAAGAAGAGAGAATATTATTTTGCATTATAACCAAGCAATATTTTAAATATCATTCTAAAACTTAAGCCGTTATAAGCAAATTATCAAGTTTTCAAAGAACAATTAATTACAAACGTACAGAACATTAATGAACGTTATTGACATTTTCCAAAACTGTGAGAGAATAAAATTTGAAACTAGAAACTTTGTGTATAATTAATAATAACAATATAAGACTTTATTCAGACACATTTTTTTAACATAAATCTTATATTCACGACTGTGGTTAGTCGACGACACCAACAACTTGGTCTGTTTGCCCAACTTTGGCAAAAGCCTCCTCCATTTATTTCCACGCTGTTCTGTTCATTGCTTTCCTAGTCCATGTTTTCCCCGCCGTAGCCTTTATTTCGTCTTCCCATCTTCGAAACTGTCTACCTCGTTTCCTTTTTCTATTTCTCGGGCACCGAAATACAACGGTTTTGTTGCATTTCTCAATGCCTCTAATTATGTGTCCTGCCCATTTCCACTTGAATTTTCTTATTTTCCTATTTAGGTACTTACTTTCTTATTTTTTCTATTTAGGTACGTTTCCTACTAATTCTGTTCCTTATCTCTCCAAATTCTTTATATTCAGTATGCTCCTCTCCATTGCTGTATGACAGGTTTCTAGTTTCTTGTTTTGCACTTTAGTAAGTGCCCAAGTTTGGCAGCCATATGTTAGGACTGGTAGCACTTAGGTATTGTAATGATTTGACGGACATCTTAATTTCTGTATTCTTCATTACTTCTTTTAGCTGCCAGTAACATTTCCATGCTTTCCCAATTCTAGTATCAATTTCCTTCGACATTATGTCGATGGCTGAGATTTGTTGTCCCAAATATGTGTACTCTTTCACATACTCAATCTGATCTCATCAGATCTTTCACATACCCGATTGAGTTTGTGTATAATTATTGTTGTATTAATTGTAATAAAATTGTAAGGCGGTGTTACTAAATTTATTACAAACACACTCATTATTTCAATGTTTAACGAAAGTCTTGATAATGTTATTTTGACTATAACATGACATGATTGGTGTAATGGATTGTTAACACAAATGAACACCGAACGAATAATAATTAAAGAAATCTGAGTTCTAAACCAGCCATATTATTTTATGGCTTTTTTTCCCAAGATCAGACTTAGTTTTAGTAGTTGTATAATGTTGTAGTAATTTCTAATCTATACTCTTAGTTTAACTTATTTAATTTACCTTTTGTTGTTTTTGTTTGTATAATTTTGAATATTAATTTTGCCATTTTGTGGAATCTCAAGAAGCCTAGGCTGATTGAACCTTGAAACTCTTTTTCACAATAAATCTCTTAAGATCTGGTCTGACACACAAGGCTTAAATATTCGAAAAGCTTAATCCGGGCTTTTGATCGTAAATTCGCTTCAGAAGCCCTGGGATTAAGTAAAAATAAATTGCGCATTCTGGCAAGAGCCCTAACTGGACACCGTTGTCTTATAAAGGACATATCCACCCTGGGACTAAGCAACTCAAGGATGTGTCAATTCTGTTACTTAATACTTAAGAACTTACATAAGAAACGCCTCTGCATATCCTAACTGATTGCGGACCCTTAACACGCAAACGTAGCATTCATCACCCGCCCAGAAGAAGTGAAATTGCTCACGGCTAAGCAACTCTTTCTATTCATTGAAGAAATAGGGATTAGCAGTGAACTACAGCCGTATCAGCCATCACAATAGATCTTTTATGTCGCAGTGATACTGGTCTCTTTCCCTAGAACTGCATAGCTGCTCGCACAAAAAGAAGCTTATTTATTATTTATACAAATATTTCATGCCAAAGAAGTGTACATTTGCAGAACGTTTTAAGTTTTATAAGGCTGAGCGAGCTCCCAGGCGAGGGAGTGGCTGAATGGGCGGCCAGAGTATGAAGTCTTGCACAATACTGTGGATTTAAAAGCGAGCTTGATATGCCTTGCGTGACTGATTCGTATTAGGGCTAGAAAACATATCAAAAAAGAAAAGTTATTCTCAGAATGCATCGCCACGTTCAATACAGCGTTGGAGTTAGCACAGGGGGTGCATTGCGTTGAGTTTTACAAAGTACTTTGGAGACTACGCGTGACTCATCAACATCACAGCGATATTTGCCGTGCGCGCGACTACATCACGGTTGGATTCACAGCAACAACAACAACGAAAAACGTTTTGTGAAGTATGCGGTTATAAGAACTATGTTAAAAATCTGTGTAGATTTACTAATTATACATGTCAAAAATGTCATCAAATAGGACATTTGAAAGGAATGTATAAAAAAATAAAGAACAATAATTTTGTAACGGAGGAAAGGGACAACATTGTCAAAGGCGACAAATTTTATAACATGAGGTCAGTAACTGGTGAGCTAAAAAAGCTATGCAACAAATGGTAACGAAAGCGGACGAAAGCATTTTGTATGAAATAGCAGTAGTGCCGTTTCGGTGATGCCAAATGATATCTATGAAGAGTATTTTAAAACATATTTTAGAATGCGTTTTTGTAATATCATTTTAAATTGTTATGACGGGTCTAAAATAGCGCCCAAGGTTTTCGTGGAATTACCGTTAACGTATGAGAAATGTACAAAGCGAATAACATTTTTTGTAATCGATACAATACATGAACGACCTACTTTGTTGGGACGTGATTTTGTTTAAGATTTGTGGCTTGTTATTATAGTGTAAATGAGAGCGATTTAGGTTCTAAGCTTTTAAAAAAATATGAAAAATTATTTTATCGAAGCGCATTAAGTTGCTTTTTCATATCGGTATTCTGTGCGAGCGTGATTCTGCCCCAGCCGAGACGAACCATTTATGCTACAACTATTATATAGCTGCAGCGTGGCTTTACTACATAATAAGTTCAAGATGTTGGAATGTGATCGTCAATCCGCCTTCTAGCATGAGGATTGAAGCAAATTCTCCCGACTACAGCAATAACCCATATTCAGTACAGAAAAAATTAAAGGAGCGGGAAAAACTTGCTATTTCTTAGAAACTTTAAAAGAACAGAAAGAAGAAAGAAATTTATTTATTCTAGTTTAAGAAGCCAGCACAACAAAAGTAGTACAGGAAAAAAGATAAATAAAACCTAATATTTACTAAAATTAAAAAAAAAAATTGAAGATATACTTAAAAATAAACCTTAAGTTGCAGCATGAAACTGCGAAAATTAGCGGTCTCTGTGATACCACTGGTTTTCAACTTCAAAGACAATTCGGGCAGCTGAGTGCACCTCGCAAATGATGTCAAAAATAAAAAATAAAAAATTATATATAAATGGACTATATTAGTAAGGCTTTTTTAAATGGAACTGAATGGACATATGATATCCATAGTAGTTTTGTAAATAAAAAAAATCTATTAAATACAAATACAGCTTGTATAAAGATTTCTAAGTAAATTTAAAGAAAAATAGCCTAGTTACGTAATATACAATATTACGTGTGTATTTTAAAATTTTTGAAAAATTTCTTTAATTAGCTAATACCAAATTAAACAATTTCTTTCTTATATTGTTTCAGTGTTACAAACATCTTCTTAGTAAACCTGTCAGTGGCGGATTTGCTCGTTACACTATTCTGCATGCCGGTTCAGATCGCTAAAGCCGTAACCTTGCTGTGGTACTTCGGGGAAGTCATGTGCAAGACTGTTAATTTCCTTCAAGGTTAGTAGTACATAATCAAATTTTATTTTTTTGTTACATAATATTTTTACATTATTCATTATTTTAATCACTTTTTTATATTTACATCTACCAATATAAATATAGTTGTAGTGTCCGTCTACGTTATCAAAATAACTGTTTTTTATTAAACTAACGGGGTTATTTACTAGTCATTACGAAATGAATAACAGTTTTGTTTAATTTCTTTTGTCCAACAATCTGTCTGTTCGCGCTGATATTCGGATTAGTTGAACTGATTGTAATGAAACTTAACGAACAGATAGAGGAAACGTCAGGAGTGATCTAGGCTATTTTATCCCAATAGCTTGGAAATTTTTTTGATAAATCGAAAAAATTCTAAAAAGAGAAGTTTTTGAATAAGCTTTAATCTTAATAACATCACATTGATAGATACCAAAAAGCTATAATTATAGTTTTAAATTAAATTTTGAGCTTTGGGGCTGGACGTGATAACATTCACTTTTGTTTACACCATCGTTTTAAAATCATATTGTACATAAATTTAAATCTCAATTTTTTATTTCTATCCATTTTAATACCCAGCTCCCACAAAAATTGAGTATTATTTACACACGACATTGTGATAATAATTAAAACTTAACTTAATATGACATATCTAACATTGTGGGTATAATAAAAACTTAACTTATACTTAAAATTTCTTTAAAAATATGAATCTTCGTAGGTTGATCCAATAATAATGGTTTATAATGAATCCATAAAAAACAAGAATCAATGCTGGAAAAAAATGGAAAACCTCTGAAAATGTTCCTGTGTATAAAATCCGATGATAAATGCTTTCGTAATTACAAACCGATAACACAAAAGTGTTGGAAGCTTTAGTATGCCCAACTATTCAAAATTATTGTAAGCCAATTTTTACTAAAAATAAACACGAATTCATTGGATCTCATACCACGAACACCAATAATATTCTATACCTGGTAGAGCCTTGCTGTAGTTATATTGGTAGTATAGTTGTAGCACGAATGGGTGGGATCAACACAACTCGACAAACTTGCACACAGTCCATCTGATGGTAAGAGAGAGTATCCTCGATTACAAATCAAAGTGCAGATGCGTTGTCACCCGTGAGGACTAAGATGGAATGCTTCTTTTTCAGTAAAAAGGGTCTCCGGTTCTCTACTCTCACCATACGAAACACAGCAGCGTTAAGCTACTATTTTACTGTGGGATTCTGTGAGAGCGTGGTTATTCTCTGGTCGAGCCGACCCATTCGTGCCACAACTATACTACTAATATAACTGGCGCATGGCTCTACCACGTATAAAGTACAGTATAGAGTATAAATGCTGATTCCTAAACGACCAAACGTTCTTTGGTTTTTAAATTTACGCGACCTTATCAACATAATATATACTTACTGCTTTCTCGGATAAAAATTACAAGGTTACCATCACACATATTCGCAAAGCTCAAGTTCCCTTAGCACGGGGTTAGGCATAGCATAACGGCCCATATAACCTAAGCACGAAGTGCTAAAATGATATACCACTATCTATCAGAAAGTTTTTTTATAGGATAAGGGTGCCAACGAGCACACAGTTCACCTGATGGCAAGTGGTTACATCGGCCTATAGACATCTAAATTTATCCTCGATTACGAATCAAAATGCAGATACGTTGTCACCCGTGAGGACTAAGATGGAATGCCTCCAGTAAAAAGGGTCTCTGGTTCTCTACACCCACCATACGAAACACAGAACGTTAAGCTGCTATTTTACGCTGGTTTATATGAATTGCTATCTTTGCCACATACACTCGCACGATAATGCACATATACAAGCGTAAAGAAGCAGAGAGTGTGAGAGAAAAAGAGAGAGAGAGAAACCTGTACATAACAGGCTGGGACTGGTTTGTAACTTTATTATACTTTATTTCGTCCCGCATTTATATGATAATGATATTTCATAAAGTGCCATCCTCCTTTATCTGAAATATAATTACTTTGTAGTACTCAATAAATTATGTCTGAATAATTAAACCTACAAACATGGCCTTTAGTGACATATATAAATCCTAACAGTATGTCCCTACGGAATTTCAAACCAACGTTATAAGCACATCCCATGACGCCGACGCCGTTTTAATGGTTGTGATACGCTTGCTCCATTACATTAACGATAATGTATTCCACCTGGTTTGATATGCGAGAAGCTTTGATTGATTATTTTAGCTATGAATTGACGCATTTAAAGTATTTTATTAACACTAGTTTTTTTTTAATATTGCCTTAGTTGCTTATATGTATAAAAAGATTTTTCTTACTTGCCAACTTAAATCTCAATGACTTTTGGAGCGTTGCCAGAACTTAAGCCAGAGCGTTGTAAATTTTTGCGTTATTTTGTAGTAAAATATTTATAAATTGTATGTCATGTGCGCAGCAAAGCGGTACAGTATTTCATGCCGGCACACCGCCTATAACTTTACAAAACGCAGTGCAGCCGTGCATATGGAACACTGTTCCCATCTCTGGGCTGGGGCTCCCCAGTGCCAGCTCTTTCCATTTGATCGCATTCAGCGCAGAGCCGTTCGAATCGTGGAAGACCGAGCTCTTTCCAACCGGCTAAATTTACTGGCACCGTGAAGAGATATTGCATCTCTTTTTTTGAGTAATTTATCGCATTTATCAAGGGGAGTGCTCTGAGGAATTGTTCGGACTAATTTCAGCCGCACAGTTTCACCATCGCACATCTCGACAAAACTCGCGATACTATCCATACCATCTGAATGACTGGCGGTCCACCACTATGACATTTAAAATAAGTTTTCTTCCTCGCACAACTTTCTTGTAGAATTGACTATTGACTATTGATTTAGGGACCTTCAAGAAAAGAGACTACTCCTTTTTTAAAAGCGACGCATCTGCAATTCCCCTGGTGTTGCACTTGTTCATGGGCGGTGGTAATCACTTATCATCAGGGAGACAAATACTCGTTTGCCCCCTCTCCTATATAAAAATGTCATGATTGACATATTACAAGTCCATCTCTAAGGAAAATTTGTAAGTAAAAGTTAAATTTATAAACACTATCTTTTTTTAAGAAAAAAAAATATCAGTCATCCATAATTTACTTCGAGGTTGTTAAATATAGGTTTAAATTTATATAAAAATACTAGTTACTTTCCTTTATCAAATGCCCTTTTCAAGCACATTTTTGTAATTTTTCACTAGATTGCACTGAAAACACCATAGAATCCTATAATACATACATAATAGAACAGGGGATCAGGAGGTACCCATGTTGCCACTAACATGTCAACATAACTTTTTGATGTCACAGTCGTTGCCCAATTTTTGTGTCAAACATTTCTGGGTATAATTTGTTTAAAAAAAGCCGATTAGTGCAATAATTACGTGAAAGAAAAACAGCTGGATGTGGAATTTGAATAAAAGTGGTATATTCTTTCACTAATAAGTTGAAACGATTTCTATTTTGTGAATATTAGAATTAAAAATAATGAAATATTGATGATTACAAACTATAATACTAGGATGTAACAAAATTTTAATGATAATGCTAAATACCGGCTTTTAAAATTGTACTTGACGTAATGACAAACTAAATAGATGCGATCAAATACAGTGAAAATAGTCATTTAATGACCTAAGAATTAATTGTTATAATATTTTTTATTAAATTTGATTTTATTCCATCTATAATATCGTTGGCCCCGGGCAATATAGTGGTAAGCGCCTGTTACGCCCTTTTTAATGTTATTTGATTTTTGGCTTCTCTGAGTATCAATCTATCACTCTTATTTTTTTCAGTTTTTTATTGATATTTCTTTAAAATAATTGAACATAACAGCTTTATTGCATGGAAATTATCTAACGACTAGGTTATGTATTATTGCATTACTCTAAGGAACATACGACAAAAACCGGTGAACATCTTTACACTGAATTTATGAACAAAGAGGAACAGTAATATATTTTACCGCGTTTTTGAAAATAAACTTATTACATCAATAAACTGTAGATACTTATTACCAAGAAATCACAAGAGATTTTATTCTGTACAAGCTATTACGCCTTTCTTCCCGTAAATATATTGTTACGAGCTTGAGGTTCGTGACAATAAAAATTGCCGATAAAATTACCTAAATTAACACTTTAATTTACTTTATACAAATTAAAACTTAAAACACTAATAATTAAACACACTAATTCACTTTATTCCGCTCCGAAGCTTCGCTTGTCTCGCCAAATCAACACTAACCCGATCGCATCTTGCAGCGCCTATTTATTTAAATTAGCAAAGAAATATCCAGAATGTTCAAGTAAACACGCGCAAGGTACCGAGCGTTCGAGTTTCGACTAGGCGATGTCGGTTGAGTGATTTGTGATGTCATTTTCTCAATGCTCCCCTCGCTCTCGTTCCTGACACTAGATGGCGCTAGTGTATCGCCGACTTGAGCGCGTAACACTGCCCCCTTCTAAGACATGCTCGTCCCGAGCGTTATCGGTCCCATAATAACGCGCCAAGCGATCCACATGGACGATCTTAGGAGTCCCTCTTGCGCCTTTCTGTATCCGGTAGGTCACATCGTTGATCCTGGTTACAATCCGGTACGGGCCGTCCCATTTAGCTTGAAGCTTAGGAGATTTCCCTTTGCTGCGGACTGGATTGTGCAACCACACTAATGAACCTTCGTTGAACCCTTTATTGTTCATTTTGCGGTCGTACCGGGTTTTCATTTTCGCAGACATTTGCTGGCCCGATTATCTGACGTGCTCATAAATGTCATTCATTTTGGTTCCGCAAGTCATTTGCGTAATCTTTTATACTACCTGGGGCATCAGGTGGTATCCCGGTGATCAGGTCTGCAGGCAGCCGTAATTCTCTTCCAAAGTTTGCGAAAGCTGGTGCGACTGAATTGTACTTTCATGAACAGCGCTTCGATATGACAACAAAAACGGTTGTATGTGCTTGTCCCAATCTTGTTGCCGATTG